GGAAAGGGGATTAAGAACTCAGAGTTGCTGTTCTCAGCCTCAATTCTAGTAGTAGGTCAGACAGGCCAAACAAATTACTTTATTTATTTGAAAATATACTAGTATATTCCTTTCTCTCCCAATGTTCTATGGACCTAATCACTTATAATTTTAAAATGCAGGACAGCAGCTGAGCCAGATGGTAAACAAAATTTTATCCCAAACAAAGGTTGATTCTGGTTGGAAGATATTTCTATTGAGCTACAATTATTTTACAATAACTGTCTCTCTCTACCACAGACTGCTTCATTTGCCACTTTTTTTTTTTTTTACCTTTGTTAGCATTTAACACTAGACAAAGTAATCCCCTGCTAATCACACACTCCTACTAGGTACACAGTATACTCCAAAGGCAAGTTTGGGCAGAGGCCTAAAGTTAGTTATGAGTAGGAGACTAATTCCAGAAAATGAATTTTGGCTTGATAATTTTAACATAAAAGGCATTTTAAACATAAATATAAGATGCGCTTAAGTTAGAGGACTCAAGCAATCCTAACAGAACTCAGAATAAATCATATTAAGGTTACATATTAATTTTCCATCATTAAGAATGGCTGAAAAGATTTGCATTGTTCTGAATAATACTAACTAATAAGAAATAAGGAAACTAATTGATAAGAAATAAGGAAATATCTAAGAAGACATGATTCATGTGGAAAAGATCACACCCATATAGTCAATAAAATGAACTTCTACTCCATATTTGGTCCTTGTTCAATGTTGTAAGAGACACAAAATTAAATAAGACATAATTTCTATCCTTATGGAGTCTGACAATCTACTATGGCAAGATACTATACAAATAACTACAACACAAGACCCAAAAATGTAATTTTGCAATAAGAGATATTTCAAGCTAAATATTATGAAGAGAAAGAGAACACTTCGGAAGAAGGATCAGGGAAGCAAGGACATGGCAAATAAGGTCAACTGCTATGATGGCTAATAGTGAAGAGATGGCAGCTGTATCCATTCTATTAAATAAAGAACTTTTCATTCAAGTTGTTATGCTAATGATATCCTGGAGAGCAACAAAAGTTTTATACTGCACATCACTAAATTTTTAGCAGAAACAGCATTAAGCATTTTTCAAAGGGTAGTCCAAGATAGGACACACTGAAGCAGCTGAGTAAGAGGGCAAAATCCAGCCTCAGACACTTAACACTTAACTAGCTGTGTGACCCTGGGCAAGTCACTTAACCCTGATCGCCTCACCACCCCCCTCCAAAAAAAAGAAAAAAAAAAGAGTAAGAGGGCAAAAAGGCATGAATGTGGGAAAGACTAGATCTAAATAATGCAGCAGAGCATTCTGTACCAAATTACTACTTCACAAACCAGAGCTTATTTTAAACTTTGATTTGTGCAAGCTGCATGATCTTAAAATATCATGATTCCTGGGAGAGAAAAATAAATGGCTGAAATTCTAAAATTTTCTTACAGCTTGCTTGCTATCTGAAATTCTTCATATTTACCACAGCCCTTTTCCTCTCAAACAAGTAAAAGGAGGAAGATCTTAGGCTTATTCCAAAAGTTAAGTCTCTGCTTCAGGCTCTTGCATATATCTAAAGGGCTCAATTTGGAAGTCTACAAAAGCTGCTTTCATCTGAGCTCTATGTCCTGAGCCCAAGACAATTCTGTCTTTACTTACACTGCCCCTTTTCTTCCAGGATTTTAAAAGGCTTAATAAAAACTTTAGGCAAGCTTTTTCTGTATCTACTTTATTGCACTACTTTTTCACACTAATAAACTCAAGAGAGCAAAAAACTTCAATATCACTTAATCTGTATCAAATATGGAAATATAAATTATGATTTTTGACCACCAGATAAACAGTTTATAGAGCCTCTGTATTAGGATGTATTTTCCTCTAAGTATCTTCCAGGCTCAGTTGTAAAGACAGGTGGAGCAGCAGCAGGGTACAATGTAAAGAATGTATTCTGGACTTTGTCAGAAAGACCTACTTCTAACAGTTAATAGAAGTGTAACCATGGGCAAGTCACTTAACAAACTCTGAGCCTCAGTTCCTCATCTGGGAAATGAACATAATGCCATTATAATCTACATTACAGAGTTGTTATGAGGTTGAAATGAATGGTTTCAGGAATATAGGTAACTGCAAGTAAGAAAGTCACCTTTACTGACAACTGTTCTGCAACTTAAAGTTTTAGTGATTTAGTGGCCTGGGAATTGAAAAGTTAAGTGACTTGCCAAGGATCACACAGCCAGTATGTGGGCCAGAGGCAGGACTTCTGGGCTCTGAAGCATATCCACTTCCTAATCCAGGCAAATACTTTTTAAGTCTTCTTTTCCACTTCACCTTTCTACTTAACATACAAGCCAAGGTCAAGAATCTCATCCCAGGTCAGTTGACAGATATCATTAACTGTTATTTTTACAGCTATATAGCACTTTATAGTTTTATAAAGTGCTTTCTTTATATGTCTATGGGATTTACCCTCATTTTACAGATGTACAAACTGAGCTTCATAGGAGGTTGAGTAAGTAACTTGCCCTGGAAGTCCTCAAAGAAAGAAATTCAAGCTTCTAAAGTCATGAAAAAAAAAATACTCCAAATCATTAACAGAGAAATGTAAATTAAAGCAACTCTTGAGGCTGTACCTCACTCCCATCAGATTGACAAAGTGGACAAAAAATGAAAATGACAAATGTTTTAAGGGCTGTGGGAAAACAGGCATATTGATATACTGTTGGTGAAGTTGTGAATTGGTATTCTGGAAAGCAATTTGGAACCAGGTCCCCCCAAATTCATATAATGTATATACCTGTTGACCCAGCAACCCCTACTAGGCCTATACCCCAGGGAGAGCAAAGAAAGAAGAAAATGTGTACAAAAATATTTCTAGCAGTTCTTTTTGTGGTGGCAAAGAACTGGAAACTAAGGTGGTACTCATTAATTATGGAATGGCTGAATAAATTATGGTATATGAATATAATGGAATATGCTGTAATAAGTGAAGAAAAAAAGAGGAACCTGAGAAGATGTATGTGGATTGAGAGGCAGAGTATGGTGAACATAACAAGAAAAATACACTATAAAAATCAATATTATAAAAAGAAACAATTTTGAAAAACTTAAGAACTCTGACCAATGCAATGATCAATCATGATTCCAGCGGACCAATGATGAGAAATGCTATCCTCCTCCTGTTACAGAAGTGACGGATTAAATATGAAGAATGAGACATTTTTGGACATGATCACTATGGGAATCTTTTTTCTTGACTACGATTATTTGTTACAAGGGGTTTGTTTTTCTTTTTCCATAGAAGCATGAGGGTAGTGGTGGTGGTGGTGGTTCATAACTGAAAAAAATAACATTTATCATCAAGGAGGGAATAAAAGTAATTTGTCCTAGCATTTACTTACTATTCTAAATCCAGACATTCAAGACCCTCTACAATCTGGATCCAGCCTTTCCTCATACAACTAACTCTCCTTTATTCTAGGTTCCATCCTCCCTATACTTTTCTATCTCAGTTCTTTTGCTTAAACTGTTTCCCTAGTCCTAGAATGTAATTTCCTTCTCTATCCTTTCTTAACTCTAACGCCTGCCCTGCGTTACTTCCAATTTATTCTGTAAATAGCTAGTCTGTACATAGTCATTTGCATGTTGTCTCCTAGGATGTGAAGCTTCTTGAGGGCAGAGACTGTCATTTGCTTTTCTTGGTATGTCCAGCACTTTTGCACAGTGCACACATAAAGTCCTTAACGATGTTTACTGATTGACATCCCCACTCCCGTCTGCTTAAGTCTTTCTCCTTGAAGGGCCAGCTCAGACGCCACTTTGTCCATGATACCTTTTTCCAGCTCCCCACCCCGCAACATTTTATCTCTTCTTTGTACTTATTATGACTCTTTCCCTGGCTTGCTGGCATATTGGTCCAGGCCTCCCGCACCAGGTCTTGCTCTTCCTCATCTCCTCCAGCTCTTCCTCCTCTCCCCAGAAGCTCCTGCCTTTCCATGCCTGGGTTCGGGACAGACGCGCTTGACTCTGGGGTAAATGCTTGACAAACCCTGGTGAGCTCTGGGCACCAGGACCACGCTCGAAGGCCCAGGGCCAAGCCTGGAGCCAGTCTGGCTCTCCGGGAGTCACATCCAGGGCTCTGGGCCCCTCAGCCAGGCGGCCCCTCCGCGACCTCTGAGCACTGAGACCCCCCTGAGCCCCTCCCCGGGGCCGAATCTCCTTTGGGCCCCCTCCTCACTCAGGCAGTCACCTTCGCTTGGGACCTGGCTGCGGGAGACCACTCAGGGAGGCCTGCCTCCGTCCTGCCCGATCACGCACCCTGCGAGGCCGGGGCGGGTTCCCCGCGTTTCTCCTCAGGAGCCCCCCGATTATGGCTCCCCCCACCCCAAGCCCCAGTTCCTCAGTCTCAATAACAGTAAAGCCGTCCCTTCCCACACGAGTCTGTCTGCTTTGTAAAAAGAGGCTTGGAGTGCAGGCCTCGCCGCCTAAGCAGCCTTTGCCTCCAGTCCGGGCCTCGCTCACCTACCTGCACACCTCAGCCGAGACCCCCTCAGCAGCGACCACCCTCCTCAACCGCCACCAAGGCCTCACTTTTCCCCTCCGACTTTGCTTTTTGAATGCTTTTGACCCTTTAGGGCTTCCGCTCCCTTTCATCCACTGTAGGACCCGCCTTCCCCGAGGCAGATTGGCTTATCTTTTTCTCTCTTCCTCCCCGGCTGCCGCGGCCTGAGCAATGGGAGCCCGGCTCTTCCATACAATAACCTAGAGTCCAGGCAACCTGATTGGACTTTACACGCTTTAGCGTGAGCATTGGCTAGCTAAGGCGAGGGAGGGGCAAAGCGGGAGGAGGGTCACCTGATCATGCTACCTAGATACCGATTGGTTGACTCTGGAAAAGGCCAACGGGGAGTGAGGTGGGTGTTTCCTAGGGGACGGGAGGGAAGGCGGACCGGGGCGTTACGGAGCGGGGGAGGGCTCAACGCGGAATGGCAGTGCCGGGGCTGCGCGTCCATCTTTATCGCCCGTCCGGAGCTGTCACAAAGGAGTCACCGCGCCACAGACCGTGCCTCCGTCCCACTGGAGACCACGAAAAGTCAGTCACGGGGCCCTGGCCGCCTGTTTTGCGGGGATCTCCAAGGGGAGAAGGAGGGCGGAAGGAGAGACTGGAGGGGCGCCCGTCGGGGAGGGGAGCGGCCCGAGCCGGCCCGGGGGAGGGGCCGCTGGGGAAGCTGAGGGAGGGTGACTGGGGCGGGGTGGGGCTTGCCGGGGGCGCAGTGGAATGGGCGGAGGGAAGAGAGACCGGGCTGCGAGAGGAGAAGGGAAGGAGGATTCGGGGCGCGAAGCTCCTGCAGGTGGGGAGCCGTGGAGCGGGGCAGGGGGCATTCGAGATTGAGCGCCGGAAAGAATCCTCAAGACTGGTAACAAGATGTTAAATCACTAGATTTAGAGTCGGAGGACCTGGGTTCGAACTTGATTTTTGCTGCTTACTATCTATATGACCTTGGTCAAGCCTTTTCTCTTCTTTGGGCATCTGTTTCCTTTTCTGTAAAATGAGGGAAGGGTTGCACTAGGTGATCTCTTAGGCGCTTCCTGTTCCAAATTCTATGATCTATCTAATCCAGCCTTCCCATTTATTTTGCCACTGGAAAAACTGAGGCCCTAAGAAGTCTGGAGGGTATTGTTTAAGGCTACATAAGATTAGTGAGCGATAAAACAGGGGCTACCCAGTTCTTTTGCTTCCCTGGCCAGGATTCTTTCAAATAGAGTTACAGGACTTAGAGCTGGAAGTGAGCTTAGAAATAAGAGTAATGTACATTTATAAAGCACTTTAAGATTTGTAGAGCACTTTCTTCACAATAGTCCTGTGAACTAGCTACTGCAGCTGTTCATCCCTATGATTATCGAAACTAAGGCCCAATGAGATGAAGTTACTTTTGTCCAGCTGGGACCTGAACCCCAGGGTCTCTTTCTTTGAAGTCTGGATTCAGTGCTCTTGCCACTAGGCCATGTATCCTCTCATATACTTAATCCAAACCCCTCATATACATATGAGAAAATTGAGGCCTGGAAAAGAGCAGTCTTCCCTCTAGATGACGTATCTTTCTAGTCCATGTTAAAATAGTGAGTAAATCATCTGTCTTTAGCTTCATTGGGTGATGGTGAGAATGAAAGAAATCCTCTCTGGTAAATCTTGTACTTTGAAACCTTTTGGATCAAAAGTTCATAGTGGTTTTGAATATTCAGCATTTTTGATCTACTGTGTTCTGGGAGTTTTGTGGTACTTAAAGAAAACCCTAGTTTCTTTTGCCCTCGATGACATTTAGTATTGAAACTGTAGAAAAAAATGTTCTAAACAGATTCCTTTAAAATGTGCTTCTCACAATTTCATTTTAAATATCCATAGTGATGCTTTATTTTTTGCCAGAAAAAATGGAAATACATGTAAATATATACTATAATAAGTCTTGAGAAAGCTTTTCTTACGTATTCACATCCTTTAGTTGTGTGGAGATAACTTTAATGCTTCCCTTTTTAGTTGTGATTTTGCCTAGTGATCTTAATATTTATTTAAAAATAATCTTTTAATAATGATAGCCAACATCTACATAACACTTAGTTCATACCAGGTATTGTGCTAAATGCTTTACAATTATCTGAATTTGATCCTCTCAACAACTGAGAGGTAGGTGCTTTTATTAACCCCATTTTACAGATGAGGAAACTGAGGCAAACAGAGGTTAAGTGACTTCCCTAGGGTCTCATAGCTATTACGTGTCCAAGGCAGGTTTTGAATTTAGATCTTTCTGACTGGTGTTGTATTCATTGCCCCATTAAGTATCAGGCACTGTGCTAATCTTTGAGGATACAAAGAATGTCCAAAGACAGTAGTCCCTGCTCTCAAGGAATGCACAGTGTAAAGGGGGAGACAATGAAAACAACTAGGTATGTACAGGATAAATTGGAAATAATCAATACAGAAAAGCTCCTCATAGAAGATGAGAATTTAGGTGGGACTTGAAAGAAGCCAGGAGGCAGAGATGAAGAAGATCATTCCATGCAAGAGGAACAGCCAGTGAAAATGCCTTGTTGGGAGGTGGAGTGTCTTGAAAAAAACAGCAAGGAGGCCAATGTCACTGGATTGCAGAGTACATGGGAAGGAGATTCGTGTAAGAAGACTGGAAAGGCAGGAGGCAGCCAGGTTGTGATGAGTTTTGAAAGCCAAATAGATGATTTTACATTTAACCCTTGATAGTAATATGGGAACTACTGGAGTTGATTGCATAGTGGATAGTGACATAATCAGACTTGTATTTTAGAAAGATTAATTTGACAGTTGAATGGAGGATTGAATTGGAGTGGTGAGAGACTTTTGGCAAGGAATCAAGCCAGAACACTGTTGCAGTAGACCACATGTGAAGTGATAAGGACCTAGACCTGGGTGGTGGCAGGGTCAGAGGTAAGGTGAAATCAGCAAATCTTGGCAACAAATTGGGTATGAGGGATGAGAGTGAGGAATCCAGGATGATACCTTGCTTACAAACTTGAATAACGGGAAGGATGATGGTTTCTTCAAGAGTAATTAGTAAATTTTGGGGAGAATATAACAAGTTCGGGTTTTGGACATATTGAGTCTAATTATATGTGTGAGACATCTAGTTCAAGATGTCTAATAGGCAGTTGGAGATTATGTCTAAACATTTGGAGAGAGGTTAGGGCTGGATAAATAGATCTGAGAATCATCATCATGGAGACGATAATTAAAATCATAGGAGCTGATGAGATCACCTAGTGAAATAGTTTAGGGGAAAAGAGAAGAATGCCCAGGGCTGAGCCTGGTGAGTGAGTGGGAGTGAACTGGCCCAAGAGACTGAGAAGGAGCTGTAAGGTAGTTGGAAAACCAGAATAGAGTAGTGTATGTAACCTAGAAAGAAGAGGGGTATCAAGGAGAATGAAGATTTTTGACTTAAAACATTGGTTTTTGCAAGCAGTTCATACCTTTCCGATTCCCTATTGTTTATCCTGTCCACTCTCACTTCTGAATCTCAAAAATTCTACCAGCTACTACAAGTTGGTATTTGGTTGTTTTCTGTTAGATTAAAAATTGCATTTTCCTGAACCAAATTTTTGTAGCAGCTCACTGTGTGAGATCCTGATCCATTCACCATTTTCTGAGTGTATGACATGTTCCTATTCTGCAGTCAATGGATATGGTTTTATATTTGTAGAATTATTTATTTTTAATTGTTCAAGATAGTTATTTCTGTTTTTGAAAGTCTGATATTTGTTAGCCATTTCTGCAGAAATACCTTTTAAAAACAACAGCAATATTAGTCATTTGTTAGTTTACTGATTTCCCAGCATAGATATTATCTAGACCTATAGATTAATGTGCTGTCTAATTCCTGCTTTTTGCCACATTCACAGCCTTAATTATTTATGGATCCCATAATTATTTTAAAATTATGATGGATTGTAAGAAGTATTTCCACATTTCAGTGAATTTGATCCTTCCTCCCTGTCAAAAAATCAAACATTCTTTCAGTAGTTAATATTTAAATTACATAAAGAAGTACCATGCTAGCATTCTTCCCAGTAGATCATTGGTCAGTTTTGAATGGGAAAAGTTAGAAGTAATATTGCCAAGAAAACCCAATCAAAATAGTGTTTTATATTTATTTTTCCATGTGTGTTTACAGCTGCCTCAATTGGAGTTGTATGATATATCTTGCATATAATAAAATTAAATTAGATTATTATAAAGAAGTGAAAGGATACTTTGCCATCTTTAAATTGTGGTTATCTTGAAATTATTTTAAATATGTTCTTAACCTTATTTTAAATGTGGCATTTAAAGTAGTAACACCCAAGATCACATGTTGTGTATGGGTGTGTGATTTTATGATTTTACAGTCCTCTGGGGACACTTTTGAAGAAGAATACAGTGGAGTCATCTGCAGTGTTGTGAAATTGAATAGGCAAGATATATTTGGAATGGAAGGACATCATTACTAGTAAATATTGGCAAATGTTATTTGGTAGTGGTGATACCATTGATTTAGTTTTAGATTAGATTTCATTTCTTCTAGTTTTCCAGGGCTAACTATATTAATCAGTTAGAATGGTTATTTCTGGTACAAAGATTGGAAATTTATTGATAGAGAGTAGTTAGGTATAGGACTAGAACTTGGGCTTTGAAACTTGGACCACAGGCATGTGCTCAAAATGTATCCTTCAGAAAAAGAATGTTTTATTTTGACCATTAAGGAGGAAGAGGGTAACAGTATGAATATTGTCTTCCCAGTTTAGCCATTCCGTCAGTGAGTCATCTTTTAGCCTGTATGTATGCCAAATAAGTACACAAATGTATTTTACTATAACTTATCAATATGCCTCCAAAAGGGAGTGCTGCAAGGTGTTGTTTTTTAAGGAGGCTGATAAATTTATTGTCTTTACTTTATAAGGTTTCATAAGTTCATAAGTAAAGCAACCTTTGCCTACTGACAATAATCTTATAGAAAGAGTCACCTTCACAAGTAACTTTTTATTGGTATGAAAGCTAAGAGGGAAAAGACAGCAAAGAATTGATCTCATAGGATTACCTGAGTAATAGAACACGTCACTCTGCAAGCTAAGGATCATAATTTTCCTCTTGCTGGAAATTGCGTTTGACAAAGTCTTTAGTTTCTGTTTGCTCCTGTGCAATTTGTTGGGTTTTATGTACCTCAAATATAAGGTTGCAAAACTATTTTTGCTCTTGTTCACCATAACTTCATTGCTTTGTGGTTCATCATTCACACTTTAAAATAGAAATTCTTTTATTAGTGGAAGATATTTTTGGAATATTTTCCATATATTAAAATTTAGAATATATTCATTAAACAAATGTTTGAATTCCTATTATATTCAAGATACTATGCAAGCGTTCACTATTCCCAGGTCTGATTTATTGCACATCACTTTCTAGTGTATTCAACTGAGTATTTTCAGACTTCATTTTAAGTGGATCTCATTATATTCAGAATGGGGTTACATTATTCATGCAACCTACTCAATTCGTTTCCTTTTCTCATTAACAAGAGAATTTTCCTGTAG